CCTTATATGTAGTAGATGCTAATAAGTGCTTTGCATATACCAGAGGTCAGCAAACTATAGTCCAGATGCCAAATCCAGCCTATAATCAAGTTTTCTTTTCTTTTCTTTTCTTTTTTTTTTTTTAGAGACAGAGTCTCACTTTGCCACCCTCAGTAGAGTGCTGTGGTGTCACATAGCTCACAACAACCTCCAACTCCTAGTCTTAGGCGATTCTCTTCCCTCAGCCTTCTGAGTAGCTGGGACTAGAGGCGCCTGCCACAACGCCCGGCAGGCTGGGTTTGAACCTACCACCCTCTGTATATGGGGCCAGCACCCTACCCACTGAGCCACAGGCACCGCCCCATGCTGGCTTCTTTTGTTACATTTTTAATATTCTATATTTCAAATTATACCAAATTGTATCTATTACTGAGCTTCTCCTACATACCCAGTGAATGGCCAAACACAATGTAGGTATGCAGACACAAAACAAAAGAAATTACACAACCTACAAATTAAAAAATTATCAGTGTACAAGGTGACCAATAAGAGAGAATATTTTACACTGACCCTAGAACATACCCTTGGACAGCCAAGGCCACACAACAAGCACCTGTTTTATATACTGGCCACGTGGAGAAGACTTCTTTAGAAAGAAGTGTTCCTTGGTAAAACACAGTTTGAAAATTGTCGCTGTACAACTTCAAAACTTCTGTACACCAGCCAGAGGAGAGAAGGAGGATGGAAGAAGGCAAAGCAAAGGACAGACTAGGTGTTGAGTGCTCCTGAGTTTCAGATTTGTGAAATGAACTGAGTTGGTCAAAGATAAATATAAAAAATACAAGCTTTACAAATCCCACGTGGACATGAATTTCCACGAACATATGGAACATAAAAAAATAAATGTCGATCTTCTTCCAGAACCATTCTTCCTTTCTCAATGCAAAGGTCAGACAGAGTGTGACTACATCACGATTCTTCCTCATCCTGCCTTCTGAACCTGGGTCTGACTTAAATAAAGCAGCACTGAATTCTCCTCTGCATCACTTAGCCTCTCTCACATGTAACAGCAACATTCAATAACAAAATGAAATATTTACCTGCCAGCCCTTGTCCGCAGTCCTGTAGTAGGGGTAGTTTTTTGTGATGTGTGTATAAATTCCATTGAGGGTGAGTTGTTTATCAGGAGCCATCGTAATTGCTTGTACTATTAACTGTGCATAGGAATAAGGTGGCTTTGAGTCATCCTATATTTAAGAAAAGAAAATAAGAGCATTAAAATAATTTTTTCTAAATTTACTAAAATTAAGGATTCTGGGGTATTTTTAAGTGCTCCTGATACTTCACTTTTCTTGCTACAAAAGTAATATAATTTGAAAATTGGAAGGAAACAGATGAAGTATAGACTAATAAAACAAAAAACACTAAAAAAAACACAAAGAGAAAAATCCAAATGTTAAGAATGAAAAAATAAGAAAAAACAAACGTGGATGAACAGCAGATGTTGAATGCAGAGTAATTTGTAAAGGAATATATTTAAAATGATACTATTTTTTTTTTTTTGAGACAGCCCTTAAGCTGTCACCCTGGGTAGAGTGCTGTGACATCATAGCTCACAGCAACCTCCCAACTCCTGGGCTCAAGCGATTCTCCTCCACCTCCAAGTAGCTGGGATTACAGGCGCCTGCCCCAACGCCTGGCTATTTTTTGGTTGCAGCCATCATTGTTGTTTTGCGGGCCACAGGCGCTGAGCCTATATGAATTTTTAAAATTAACATTTATAGACATAAAAGGCCAAGTATAGTGGTGGTGGCTCACGCCTGTAACCCCAACACTTTTGGAGGCTGGTATGGGGGGATCACTTGAACCCAGGAGTTTAAGACTAGCCTGTTGCCAGCTCGGTGCCTGTGGCTCAAGTGGCTAAGGTGCCAGCCACATACACCTAAGGTGGTGGGTTCAAATCCAGCCCAGGCCTGCCAAACAACAATGATGGCTGCAACCAAAAAATAGCTGGGCATTGTGGCGGGCCTCTCTGGTCCCAGCTACTTGGGAGGCTGTG